CTACGAAAATACAGGATTTGCTGCTTTTTCATATAATTCACATGATCAACATATCTATACAGATATTACATATAAACTGAAAGGAAAAAGAAACGCAGGGTAACATAATATGCGAAAATTTTTTGACTGTATAACCTAAAATTATGAAATTTGGCCAGAGGGATATCTTGGTTACTGTGCATTAAAATCAGTGTTCAGAACTACTCAACCGTGAAATGTATGACGTCACATAAGGAAAGTGGTAAAAAGCCGAAAACACGTGCATATCGATGACCACATGTTTTTCAACACATCTCGTAGTACCATTTGCTGCACTTAAGATATACAGATCGTTTAATTTTCGATATTTACAAACAATTTGCATTTCTTGAAATGAAGATACGGTTGATGGAAGTACCGTGGGGTCTGGCTGTTGCTTTGCCTAAGTAAGGACAAAGGCAACAACAGGTTTCTGTGCAGTTAGTTGTGAATTTTTCTACAATAGAACGTCTTACCCGTCCATAGAGAGGGCGTAGAAAGGTTTCCAACCAACCATGACGATGAATGTTGACGCGTAACAGCGCCACGTCAAAATCGGGCTATTCATCCTGCCACCTGTGTAATCACCATCACATTACATTAAAACTGCTATTAATACAGCAGGCTATCATAATCGTTACATTCACCCCAAAACTGAAGCGAATCGATAGCGCGATTTTGGTTTGTGAGCTCGTCAACTTTACGTAAGTGTTCCTCTAACTCGCGCATGCGTGCGTCCTTTGCCTATTTTTGGGGGCATATTAACCCCCCTCGCAATGCAGCCAAGGTTTGTCAAGATTTTCTCCCAAACAATCACATTTATCCACTTGACTGGTCTCCATCAAGTCCATCTTTTTCGCATCAAACGTCTGTGGGACTACGTGGACGGTAGGGTTTAAAATGTCCAAGCTGGTCTCAATCAACTAAGGGATGCCTTATCGGAAGGGTTGAATAATGTCCCTATTAGAAGGATAAACACACTGATTAACTCCATGCATAGGAGAATGAAGGTTGTGACAGATGCGCGAGGGAGACATGTGAGATAATGAGAATTACACGATCAGTATATACTGATCCCCGCTGACAAAGCAAGTAACAAAATTGTCTTTGTTTGTAAGGTTCATTATTTGAATTAAATTTTAGCGGAACTGGGGTTTAATCCTGCAAGTGGTAATCCAACTTATACCTATAACTCCTTTGCTAAGGAGGAAATCATTAAAAACCAGTCGGTTTTAAATATTTTTAATATTCCTAACAATCAAAATGAATTTGAATTACTATACCTATACTGGATTCCTAAGCTTAAAAAAAAATCCTTCAAAAAAAGATACATCGCAGGTTCCAGTAAATGCTCTACCAAGCCTCTTTCTTTAATTCTTTCTAAAATATTTACAACAGTAAAGAACAAACTTTAGGAGTACTGTACAACAATATATTTGAGAAGTGGTGTAAATCAGATGTTGATACTTAAAGACTCCAAGGAACTTGCAGAAAATTTGAAATCTTTTGAAAGCTGCTTTTTCAATAAAAATGGAATTCGTAAATATACTTACCATGTCATTGTAAAATTATTTTGTTAAAAAGCATTGTGATTGTACACAAAAGTACTCTGAAGTTGATATTAAAAAGATGCTTGAGTTTCTGATTGACAATATCAATGTAGTTTTTGGAGGGTCTTTCAACAATCTGCTGGAATTTCCATAGGTACAAATTGCGCCCCCGTTATTAGCAGTCCTATTTTTGGATTCATGTGAAGCAGAATTTGTTCAAGAACGAACTTCTACATGGGAAGAAAAAAACATTTGCTGTGGCCTTCAATTCGACATTTAGATACATCGACGACGTATTATCAATTAAAAAGAGTTATTTCCATTCATATGTCTATATATATAGTGAGCTTGAAATGAAAGATACCACAGAGCCTGACACATCTGTTTCATGTTTGGATATTTTACTAATACTAGAAAAAGACGTTAATGGTAACCTAACAACAATGTTTTATGATAAACGTGATGACTTCAATTTTTCAATCATCATCTTCCCGTACTTATGTAGCAATAAACCCTTATCACTTGCATATGGGATTTTTGTCTCCCAGTTGATTTGATACGCAAGAGCATGCTCTACGTATGAAAAATTCTATAACGAGGTAAGCTATTGACAGGCAAGTTGGTGAAACATGGATATCAACAGTCTCGTTTATAGTCATCATTTCGCAAGTTTTATGGTCGATGCAATGACCTTGTAAGCAAATACAATCTATCATGAAGTCAAATGCTGACTGACTTTATTCATACTAATTGTTAGGCCATTATTTATACACTGAAATGTCTACCGAATTTTTTCGTTTTTTTCGATCATGACAAGGAGCACATGGCGGGTGTTAGCTGTAGGCAAGGGATGCTCACTCCTCTATGGCACCTGATCCCACTTCTGATGTTTTTGGAGGTCCGAGTTTGCTCCTCTCCCGATTTGCATTGACTATATGGACTTTAAGATGCTGCAATTTCAGCTGAAGAATGACCAGGTTAATGTTTTTGGAGCAGGTTAAAGTTCTTGGAGCAGGTTAAAGTTTTAGGAGCAGGTCTCATTTCCAAGTAACTATAAGCCCTATATTGACCAAATTTGCATGGATGATACATCTGAGGATGCAAACTACTGGACTTGCTTCGGATGCTGGATCTGACCTAAATTTTCTGGATGAGTGACCAGGTTAAAGTTTTTGGAGTAGTTCTCATTTCCAAGTAACTTTAAGCCTTATGTTGACCAAACTTGCAATGATGGTACATCTGAGGACGCACATTGCACACTACTGGACTTGCTTCGGATGCTGGATCTCACCTACACTTTCCGGATGAGTGACCAGGTTAAAGTTTTTGGAGCAGGTCTCCTTTCCAAGTAACTATTAACCTATATTGACCAAACTTGCATGGATGATACATCTGAGGACGCACACTGCTGGACTTGCTTCGGATGCTGGATCTTACTTACATTTTCCGGATGAGTGACTAGAATAAAGTTTTTGGAGTAGTTCTCATTTCCAAGTAACTATAAACCTTACACTGACCAAATTTGCATGGATGATACATCTGAGGATGCACACTACTGGACTTGCTTCGGATGCTGGATCTGACCTACATTTTCAGGATGAGTGACCAGGTTAAAGATTTTTGGAGCAGTTCTCATTTCCAAGTAACTATAATCCCTACATTGACCAAACTTGCATGATGATACGTCTGAGGATGTACACTACTGGCCTTGCTTCGGATGCTGGATCTGACCTACATTTTCAGGATGAGTGACCAGGTTAAAGTTTTTGGAGTAGTTCTCATTTCCGAGTAACTATAAACCTTACATTGACCAAATTTGCATGGATGATACATCTGAGGATGCATACTACTGGACTTGCTTCGGATGCTGGATCTGACCTACATTATCAGGATGAGTGACCAGGTTAAAGATTTTTGGAGCAGATCTCATTTCCAAGTAACTTTAAGCCGTATGTTGACCAAACTTGCATGGATGATACATCTAAAGATGGACACTTCCAGGCTTGCTTAGGACGCTGTATCTAACCTACGTTTCCAGATGAGTGACCAGTTTAAAGTAAACTATAGGGCTATCTGAACCAAACTTGCATGGATGATGCATCACGGGATGAACACTCTCAAACTTGCTTCAGATGCTGGATATGACTTAAAATTTCTTGATGAGTGACTTGTTTAAAGTTTTTAGGTAAGTCCATTCCGAAGTAACTACAAGCCTAATCGGACCATAATTGCATAAATTTACATTTAGGGATGCACACTACTAGATTATTAGCTTGGGACTCTGCCTTGCTTAAAAACAACATTCGATGAGGTGAGTTCTGTAATCTCTGATTACATATGTTTTAAAACAACTAAAACAACAAAAAACTTAATGTGCAAAAAATTCTAATCATTCAATATTTTTGGATTTACGTTGAAATGCAAGTCCATCATATTCATTGATTAACTGTATAAAATTTTGAATGGTGAAGCTGACCTCAATATTGCACAGGACATCGTTAAAGAAGACAAAAGCATGACAAAAACATGTCGTGTTTACATTTCTCGAGTACGCAAAAACCAACTATGACGTCACACGTAAGCTAAAGAAGCGAAATAAGATATACCTACATAAGATTTCCGTCATAAGCCATGCAAAAATAATTTTTGTGTTCCACATTTCTCAAAATATTTCATCAAATACAGATTACGACCTGTTTTTACATAATGATACCACCCCTGTTTTCAACGAGTATGATCTTGCTGTACTTACAGATCGTGTATGACGTCACCGATTTATTGGACGCGCAGTTCAGAGAAACAGAGGAGTGGATCAATCTATTTCATAATTGGCCCCTTCACGGTAACTGCGGTACCTCTCTTTTGCAGGGCAAAATAATAACGTTTGGCGAAGTTTTTGTTGACAGATAATTAAATGACGCATATTTAACAATTACTTTTACGTCATATTTCACCAAACTATATTATTTTACCCTGCAAAAGAGCAGTACTGCAGTTACCGTGAAACGGTCTATTTGTTAATGTTTACAAGAATGTTAAAACATTTTTTTTTTTTTTTTTTGTATAAAATGGTAATTAAAGTAAAACAAATTTATACAAGAACTGGTGGTTTACACGTTTTGCACTTATATAAACGGAGACTGTGACGTAGTTAAACAGTGTCATGTATATATGTCATTCATCCCCTCAGGCTTGAATACTATCTCCATTTTTTTCAAAAGGTACTTTTGTAATATGCTTTTATTTGATGAGTCCAATGCGTGTCATATTTTTTTTTTTTTTTTAAAAATCCATAATGACCGACAAATACTCCATAAAAATTTTAATCTGACACCAATTTAAAATAAATTGTATTGACAAACGTTTGACAAAATTCCGACGTTTGTTAACGGAAAATCTGATGTTTGAAGTTTTCACTTGACGTGATTTCAGACGACTCCAGTTTCTATTGGATCGGAATTTCTGACTTAATAGAAGAAGATCGCTGGATCTATTCCTCTAACATGCAGACCATTACTACGAATTACTTCTCTCCGGGAGAGCCAAATCAGCATACAGATGCAAACTGTGTTGCATTATGGGACAGGTATCACGGAAAATGGGCCGATGAATCCTGTGGACATGTTTACAGATTTATCTGTGAGACAGATGTTGCGTAAGAATTATTCCTAATGAACTTGTAGTTAGAATTGCAGACATAGACCTAGAGGGGGTGGGGGTTTGGCGCCCTAAAATTTCAGATTTATATTAAAGTAACGAAAAAATGACTTTGGACCCCTCCCCATTCGAAACACCGATCCTATGACAACGGTAAGGAGATACATGTGTATGAAGAAAATTGACATAGGATAGTGTCTTCTCTTACCCCCCCCCTCCCCCCCCCCACACACACACACTCAAACACCCATACCCTCACTTTCAAGTAAATCCCAAAAACAAACACACAATAGGTTTATCAGGTTTGGGGTTTCTTTTTTATCCTACACTATAACCCTATCCGGAAGTTGATGTATCCTCTGCAAAGTCTAAAAATATTGTGAAGAAATTTTTGAGGAATGGATCTAAATGAGTGGTTCACATTAAAGAGGCTAGACGAAGGACGTTAAGGTAGTATGGGATACCTCCACGTTATGACGTATTTCCGTTTGAAGTATTGTTTTGATTTGCATGAGTGCTTATTATCGGGTCAAAATTTGTAGATACACCGTTGAAAAGAACACTCTGAAGCCTATTTCAATGCAAGTTCTCACAAGTCGGCATTTTAAGTAAAAACAGACAAAAAAATCGCAAGTATATAAATTTACTTATAATTGTACAACGGACATTTAAAAAAAGCAAACCCCTGTAAAAGGTAGTTTCAACATTGCTGCTTTTGAACACTTTTAAGCAAAAGCTGTATTTCAATTGTTTGAGTAACTGTACAGCACCTTGTGTGCGGTGAGGCATGGATAAGTGCGATTACTTCACATTGTGCTGAATTATCACCAATCAATTATCACGTTAACCAGAGCTGGACTTTTTTGTTATTTAATTCAAGAAGTAACTGTTTGGTCACAAATCAGTTAGCTGTTGTATATAGTCCCAAAACGTTCAGATGAATGCAATTGCTCTGAACAAGACACGTCCTGGAAAGCGATTGTCCATGCATTGTTTTCAAAACCGCTCAAAGTTGAAAACTACAAAGTGCGATTTTTTTATGTTTGGGAAAAAATGCTCATCATTTCTAAAATAGCACCCTGGTTTTTTCAACCCTTGGAAAATAAAGAAGGATAACTCTTCCGCTCGGATCTTTTAATTCAAAAAATTTTAAATGCATTTTATATTTTCCATTTATATACATATTTTCAATTTGTTTATTTCACTTTGCTAACATATTAAGAAACATTCTTATTGTAGACTCTCATGAAATGTTATCCGTCTGTTTTCAAGAAATAAAGTTTTCCCAGTTTTTTACGCTTATTTTTTGTTGAAAATTAAAAAAATACTAAGACATATTTCTTGTCATTTTTGTTTTTATAAACACTTTATATTAGCAAACGCCTGCCTATAATATTAAGCTTATGAAAAAAGAATTATGCAAGAAAAAAAATCGTTTTTGCATATCTCATTAAAATAATAAAAAAATTATTAAAATTACACTTTAATATACTGAAAGGTGGGGGTATTTCAAATCCTTCTAATTTGGGTACATAAATATGTAGGAGAAGTTTCGTTTGGTATCCCATACCACCTTAAGAACTATTCATTAAAAAAGAAAAGAATATTTCGAAGCGAACTATGCCTTGTTAAAGTAGGTAAATAATTGATAAATTGATAAAAATAAGAGTTTGTTCAAGTTGGGTGTCTGAAATTGAAATAAGTACTTTGTGGAAAGAAAAAGTAGAGGGTGCCCTGTATTCGAAACAAGTGCCTGTTATTATATTGCCTTTAACAAATAAGCTGTTTGTTTTTTTCTATGTAAATGTCGAGTGTGTTGTACGAGACAGGCTAATGAAAAATGTACTCTTTTGCGAGGGTATGCTCCGCTTTGCGTGCCGTGAAGCTATTCAGCGAGAAATTTCTTTAATTATATACTAGATGAAATCCCGCGCAAGCGCGGGGAATTAAAGAAGATGGGCGTGTTTGGCGTGTGATCTGCAGGAATAAGGTGTACGAAACTTTATAGTTTAAATGTCTACGATTTGGTCGGCTGACCACAGCTGGACATACTTTACAAAGTTACGTACATGGGAAAATGTTACATTTAGTTTGTCAAATTTAATAGATCAGTCCGCTTATCTTGATAATTACTACATGTATAACTTAGTAACGCTTCAAATAAGTAATAAACACCTATGGGGTATAGTTAAATGCAAGTACAAGTACGTATGTGTATATTAAAGTTTCAGTAGGTTGGAATAATTGCTTTCGCTTTCGGTGCAATAGAACCAGAATTTATCCATTTTAAAATAAACCAGTTCATAAAATTAAACTGATAAAGAATTGATTGTTAGTATTAAAAAAAATAAATTAACGCTCCATGCGAGGATCGAACCAAAAATATTTCATTTGCAATGCACTGGGCGGGTAACGCATACTACTGAGCTATCACCGCTACACATACTACATGGTTTTTAAAACGACAATGAAGCACCGCATTTACACATTGAAATTTTTTTTTTAAAAGTTCATTTTTTATGGCCTCTGGGTCTTGTCTCCATTTTTTACAAATGTTTGTTAGTTTCTTTGAATTAAAATGCACACAAATAACGTTTCAAAATCATGGAGAGATGACCCAGAGATAGCAAATTTTTAGAAAAACGTGTTTAAAAATGTAACAATTTGTACCAAATGACTCATCTAGCCAATTTTCAAGTTCTTTTTTAGCAAATCAAAATACAATATCGGGAAAATATTTCCCTTTCCTATTTCACAGGAACCCGATACATCAAAAGAATGTTAAAACTTCATGCGACAGATCAATGAAATTTTCACTTTTCAAGTGCGCCCAGATTCCTGCCGAATGCCAATCAAAAGCGCCCTCATTCTTTATACCACTACCGACAGAAAAAATCCAATAATATATATATTGTAGTTTCTACTGACAGCCAACAGGCTTATAGCAGGAAGAAATACTTTGTTCAAAATCCCGCATGAAGTAGAAGTACGTCTCCACCCCCCACCCCTTGTAAAACTTAAATAACAATTTCATTAATTGACGTTTATTGTGAAACCTGTTATATACTATGTTATGGATATTGTATATACTGTGTTATGGATATTGTACTTCAGATACTCTTATATGATTCCGTCAAGAAATGCTCATTCTACTGAGAAAATGATTTTTTTTTTTGGGGGGGGGGGGGGGTAAAAATTCACAGGTACTTGGGTCTTGGTTTATAAATGTGTATGTACCTTATTGATATGTAAAAACTGTACCTTACCTTTTTTTTTTTACATATCAATAAGGTACATGTACATACATATTTATAATCCAAGACCCAAGTACATGTGTAAAAATTAGCTTTTATATAACGCCCTATGAATGCACTGGTGGATTTAGAGGGGGCCCAGCCACCCCCCCCTCCCATTTTGTGTCTAAAATATACATAAAATTTAATAAATCTGTGTCTGTGGGCCCCTACCCCAACCTCCCCCCCCCCAACCTTTTCAAAATTCCTAGATCCGCCACTGGAATAGGCCGAGTATTTGATACAAAAGATTGTTTACAGAAAAAAACTGGAATGTATTGATTAAAGTACAAAATTTTACAGCATAATTGTATTTGAACAATGCCTTGTTCATTAATTTTCTCTTTTCATGTAAGCATGTTTATTACGAATTAAGTCCAAATTGTACTTCGAGTTCGTTGCCACGATGCTCTCAGTGAGGAATATATACAAATTTTTACCGATATATTTATTAGGAAAACCTCGCAGCTATGTTAATTAAGGCTGTCCGAGGGCTTAATATGCATTAAAATATACCTTTTATTTTGAGCTAGATTTTAATTTCAATTTGTAATCTAGGTATGAATTTGCAGTCAACTTGTGAAGAGAGTGTAATCAGGAATTATAATAATGCATTTTTGTGATGTCACATGACTTTGTTGATCACGTGACGGACACTTATAAAATTCCTAAATGTTGCACAAATATCTCATCGGCACAAGTGCAAAACAACATTATTGAGAAAAATTTGTCACATAGGTCAATTCATCATGATCTTTGGTACATATAAAGTGCTGGGGGCAAGTCTTTATCTTATTTCTTTAGAAAATATTCAATGAGAAATTCAACTTACCCATATACAAAGGGGCATTTTCCACCCTTTATCACAATTTATACAAAATAGGATAAATTACATACAATCCCCCAGCAAAGTTAAGTTAGAGGACATACTTCTCTAGTAGATTCACAGAGAGTATCTTCAATTTATCCTTATTAATCACTTGTGCCAGACAAATATATACACGATTTATAAATTCTAACTCTGACCACGGACGTGTAAGGGGAAGCGTTTCACAGTCAACTTTTTGTTATTGTTTGAATATATGTATATCGGACAAGTTTAAGGAATAACGATATTAAATTGCAAATGTCAACATCTTAACAGCACACTCAAGCTTAAAGAACGATCCAGACGCTTGAATCAAACAACAACGCTAAAAATCTTTACATGTCATGTGAAAGGAATGCAAAAGTTATGACACTTTCCCCGTCATGTCAGTTCAAGTATGCAGTGACTTGACTTGACGTCAAATGTTACTATGACATCATATCTAGGTAGTTCAGAGAAGTTACTACAGTTGGAACAGTTTGATATTTTACGGACAGCCTTATCCTAACCGCGCTACTAATTATATGTAATAGTCTTTCGATGTATAAATATATTCACAACTTACAGTGTTATCAATGATTTACCATTATTTTAATGACCATTCACACAAAAGTTTTTTTTTTTTTTTATGTTAAAGCAGCTATTTTCTTTTTAACATCGGGCTCGATGCTATATGATGTTCTAGAAGCTTCCGTCAATATTACGATCGGTGAATGACAAAAATAATTTGCACATTTTCCTTTTTAATCGGTTATCACAACTATTTCTTTTATATCATTTAAATCAAGTTTTGATTGAATAATTCAGTAATGACGTGTAATGAAATAAATAGACGATTGCTCGTTCCCAGTTTCATTAAAAATTGCCAGTAACTTAGATCCGCCAATCGGAAACGCCACCGTACTCATGTTTTTGCTATTTCATGGCTGTTTATAGAAAATAAAAGTAGACTTTTAATTTAATGTACGATACTTACGATGCAAGTGAAATCTAAATATAGTTTACGGACATCATCTTGGATCATGTGTATTCTTAGAGGAGTAAGTAAGAACGCTGGTGCACCCGTTTTGAAGTTTATTTGCAAAATTTATTAATTTATAAGTATAGATTTGAAATAAAGTACGTCTTTCAGTGGGTGGATATTATTTATTAGAGAGATGTTCAGGGTACTAGGCAATGAACTGGGATGTGGTTGAAAACTGAGAAAGACATTGAGTTTTGTCAGAGAAGTATTGTTACAAGAATAATTTTAACAATTCAAACTTTTTTTTCAGCTGAAATAATTTAGCTGTAATTATTAATATCATTAAGTTTTAGTTTCTTGAATCATATCATTTATCATAGAATCACACAGGTACGTAGTATGGGGGGGGGGGGAGGGGCTGCCCTCCCCAACACACACTCACTTTTTTCCAAACATAAGCTTTTACTATAAAAAATGTTCATGGAAGGGGTGCTCCGCCACTAGTTTTTATTGCAGCATATTTAAAATCAGGGTTAAGTTGTAATAGTTATGTAGAAATAGGAGTTTGGTATATATATGTGTCCTCCTTTTTCCTCATTAAAGTTTTTCTAGAAATCCAATTTTTTTCCCTTCCCCCCCCCCCATTCCTTCACTTTGTGCCTGTCACGTCAACTATTTACATGTAGTTTGCTTTTAAATAAAGTATTTTTATGTGCATATCTTTTACAGTGAAGGTGACATCGTTGGCTAAATCCGACTGTTTCTCTGGAATCCAAAGAAGGCTAATGAATTGTAATAAAGATCCTTTGAATATTATTGAAGCTTGCTTATTGATAGACAGAATGGCTTTTCGGTATATGATTCAGACCTACATAAAAATTACGTGAAGTATTTCAAGAAATTATTTGCTATATACAAAGGCAGATGCCTGACGATGCATGTTTAATGGATATTAGACAGGAGAAACATAATAATTATTACAGTTGCACACCGCAACACTATATGTTGTGAAAAATGAGGTCTTGATCTAGACTAAGAATCAAAAATTACTATTAATACATAGTCAGAACGTTGAATTTTTAATACAATTGCAATGAAAAACTACTTTTCAACGTTTCTGAAACACGATCGTCGAATATGTAAATGTCAATGAAAGCTGAGGCTATCCATGAAAAAGTTGAATGAAATACAAGGTTAAAGGATATCTTACACATCATTCAGATGCAGCTAAACGTTCAAGAGCTTGCACATTCTTTCTTAAGGAAAAAGAAGATGAAGCATTGTCAGGATTTTGAAAGCGCAACTAAAGATCAATCGTTCGTGCTGAAAAGGCTAGAAATTGATTATACCGTATTTATTTCGGATTCCGAAACTTCATAAAAATCCTTACAAAGATACATAGCGGGTTCCAGTAAATGTTCAACCAAGCCTCTATCTTTACTCCTCACTAAGATATTAACAATGGTGAAGGAGAAACTTCAAGAGTACTGTGCAACAATATATTCGAGTGGTGTAATTCGGATGTGGATACATAAAAATTCCAAGGAACTTTTGGAAAATTTGAAATCACAAAATTTTACGAAAATCAACAGCTTAAAAACTTACGACTTTTCAACTTCATACACAACCACTCCCCACGATAAATTAAAGTCCAGGCTTTTTGAGATCATTGACAGCTGCTTTTTCAAAAAAAAAAAATGGAACTCGTAAATATACTTACCTTGTCATTGGTCATTTGCAAAATTATTTTGTTAAAAAACATTCTGCTTGTACACACAAGTACTCTGAAGTTGACATTAAAAAGATGCTTGAGTTTCTGATTGACAATATCTATGTGGTTTTTGGAAACCAGGTCTTCCAACAATCTATTGGAATTCTGATGGGTAGCAATTGCGCCCCGTTATTAGAAGACCATTTTTTGTATTCATATGAAGCAGAATTTGTCCAAAATCCTGTACGTGAAAAGAAGAAAACACTTGCTGTGGCCTTCAACTCGACATTTAGATATATCGACGTATTGTCAATTAACAATGGCTATTTCCATTCTTATGTCGATACAATACATCCTGGTGAACATGAGATAAAAGATACCATAGAGTCTGACACATCTGTTTCATATTTGGATATTTTACTTGAAAAAGACGTTAATGGTAATCTAACAACCAAGCTTTATGATAAACGTGATGACTTTAACTTTTCAATCGTCAACTTCCCTTACTTATGCAGCAATATACCTTCATCACCTGCATACGGGGTATATATCTCTCAGTTGATTCGATACGCAAGAGCATGCTCTACGTATGTACAATTTCTAAAACGAGGTAAACTATTGACAAATAAGTTGATCTAACAAGAATATCAGGTGTCTCCTTTAAAGTCATCATTTCGTAAGTTCTATGGTCGATACAATGACCTTGTCAGCAAATACAATTTATCATGAGTCAAATGCTGACTGACGTTTTTCATACTAATTGATAGGCCATTATTTACACACTGAATTGTCGACGGATTTTTCCGTTATTTCCCGATCATGACAAGGAGCAAACGGTGGGTGTGACCGGTCGGCAGGGGATGCTCACTCCTCCATGGCACCTGATCCCACCTCTGATGTTTGGAGGTCCGTGTTTGCTCTGCTCCTATTTTGTATTTTTAATGGACTTTTGAGCTTGAATACTGTTCGTTATCTCCATATATTTCATTATAGAAAGGCAATGTTTAACTTAGAATGCAACTCAAACTCTAAGCTATAGTCTAATAGATGCTAACTGTTAAACATGTGTGTCCCTTGCCTCCTTTAAAAAATTCTCAAAATTGTTCTTTGTTGATACAACAGTAATCTTTGTAAGTAAACATTCATCAAGATATTTCACCAGGACTACTTTCTTACATGCTTTACAAATCTACAGTGATCAATCTAGTAGTGTATTTAACTTACATTTCCTAACTCCACCGAAACAGGGGTCCATTAAGTGATGCAATCGCAATATCAAGAGTTCTCAAGGGGCAACAAGAAGGTACATTGTAAATACTCATATAAGGCCATATATTAATGTAATACAATATACATACACACAAGAGAAAAAGAGTTACATGTTTGAAAGGAAAACAGTCTAAATAATGTGAAAGCATACTAGGATGGATGAAACAAGTTTTTGTTTCCTTTCTGTAAGAACTAAATCCTCACAGTTACGGCGGTACTACAATTCGCCATTATCACAAGGTATTGAGGAGCGAAAAAAATCTGGAAAGGTTTCACACAAATATTTCCTTGACGTATATGTATGTGTATATTTCAGTTTGAATTTCTTTGTTCTTACACGTAAATTTATAGGGCTCGGTGCGCTCTACTATAGAGTTAAATAGACTACTTTTACCTTGACTTGAGCAAAGATTTATTAGTCCCCTACCGGTGAAACCGGAGGGAACTATAGGTTTCCTCTGAGTCTGTCCGTCCGTCTGATTGTCCCTCTGTCTGTCTGTCAGTCTGTCCCACTTGGTTTTCCGCACTTTTTTTCTAAGCGCTTGCAGATATTGAGCTGATTTTTGGTATGTGAGTGTATCTTGATGAGTTACAGATCAAGGTTGCATATCGTTCCGTTTCAATGATTTTTGACGGAAATACGGCCTTTTCAATTTTTCAGGGTTTTCCGCAATTTTTTTTCTTAACGCTTGCTGATTCTTGGTATGCAACTTTACCTTGATGAGTTAAAGATCAAGTTTGCATTTCATTCTGCTTTATTGATTTTTGACGGAATTATGGCATTTTCAATTTTTAACGGGAACCAGATTATACTTGCCGGTAGGGGACTAGTATTGCTAATGCAATACTCTCAGAATGCTTGTTAACACTGTTACTTGTATATATGTACCTTAAATCACTTTTTCAAAGGGCGAAACTTTAGGGAATTCCGCTTGTCTTTTTATGTAAGGCTCATTATTAGTCCCCTACCGGTGAAACCGGAGGGGACTATAGGTTTCCTCTGAGTCTGTCCGTCCGTCTGTCTGTCTGTCTGTCTGTCCGTCTAGCTGTCTGGCTGTCCCTCTGTCTGTCTGACAGTCTGTCCCACTTGGTTTTCCGCACTTTTTTCTAAACGCTTGTAGATGTTGAGCTGATTTTTGGTATGTGACTTTACCTTGATGAGTTACAAACCAAGTTTGAATTTCGTTCCGCTTCATTGCTTTTTGACGAAATTATGGCATTTTCAATTTTTAACGGGAACCAGATTACACTTGCCGGTAGAGGACTAGAATTGCCAATACAATACTCTCAGAATGCTTGTTTCAATTGTTCTCTAAAGGAACTGGGATTTAATTCTGCAAGTGGTAATCCAACTTATATCTATAGCTCCTCTTCTAATGAGAAATTCTTCTAAATCATATGTCAGTTTTAAATTTTTTTAATATTCCTAACAATCAAAATGAATTTGAATTACTATACCTATACTGGATTCCTTAACTTAAAAAAATCTTTCAAAACAAAGATACAAGCCTCTTTCTTGAATTCACTCCTGACTAAAATATTAATTGCTGTGAAGGAGAAACTTCAGGAGAGTACAACAATATATTTGAGAAGTGGTGTAAATCAATGTGGATGCTTAAAAACCCCAAGGAAATTTTAGAAAATTTGAAAAATACAGTCTATCATTAAAACGAATGCTGACTGTAGTTTTTCGTAGAAAATGTTAGGCCATTACTTAAATATTGAATTGTCTACGGATTTTCCCGTTTGCCCGACCACGACAATGAGCACACGGCGGACGTGACTGGACGAATGGGGATGTTTACTCCTCTATGGCACCTGATCCTACCTCTGATGTTTTAGGTGTCTGTGTTTGCTCCATTTCCAACTTGTATTGTTTCAATGGACTTTTGAACTTGTTTTAAGGGAAGTTGACGATTGAAAAGTTAAAGTCATCACGTTTATCATAAAGCTTGGTTGTTATATTACCGTTAACATCTTTTTCAAGTAAAATATCCAAATATGAAACAGATGTGTCAGACTCTGTGGTATCTTTTATCTCAAGTTCACCAGGATATATCGTATCGACATAAGAATTGAAATAGCCATTGTTAATTGACAATACGTCGTCGATATATCTAAATGTCGAGTTGAAGACCACAGCAAGTGTTTTCTTCTTTTCACGTACAAGATTTTGGACAAATTCTACTTCATATGAATACAAAAAAAGGTCTGCTAATAACGGGGCGCAATTGGTACCCATGGGAATTCCAATAGATTGTTGGAAGACCTGGTCTCCAAAAACCACATAGATATTGTCAATCAGAAACTCAAGCATCTTTTTAATGTCAACTTCAGAGTACTTGTGTGTACAATCAGAATGTTTTTTAACAAAATAATTTTGCAAATGACCAATGACAAGGTAAGTATATTTACGAGTTCCATTTTTATTGAAAAAGCAGCTGTCAATGATATCAAAAAGCCTGGACTTTAATTTATCGTGGGGAATGGTTGTGTATAAAGTTGAAAAGTCGTTAAGTAAGTTTTAAAGCTGATTTTGGTAAAATCTTGTGATTTCAAATTTTCCAAAAGTTCCTTGGAATTTTTAAGTATCCACATCTGATTTACACCACTTCTCGAATATATTGTTGCACAGTACTCTTGAAGTTTCTCCTTCACCACTGTTAATATCTTAGTGAGGAGTAAAGATAGAGGCTTGGTTGAACATATACTGGAACCCGCTATGTATCTTTGTTTGTAAGGATTTTTATGAAGTTTCGGAATCCATTATAAATATGGTAATTCGAATTCATTTTGGTTGTTTGGAATATTAAAAATATTCAAAACTGACATATGATTTTGAAGAAGTTCTTCCTTAGAAAGGGAACTATGAGTATAAGTTGGATTACCACTTGTAGAATTAAATCCAAGTTCCTCTAAAATACATTTAATATAATGAGTCTTACAAACAAAGACAATGTTGTTACCTGCTTTGTCAGCAGGGACCAGTACGTACTGATCATGTAATCTATCTTTGTATTACATATCTTTGCAACAAATGCATCAATCAAAATGATAAAAACATACATGTACTTAGAACTCTTAGAAGACTCTCTATTAACCCTGTAAATCCCAGAGAAAAATATTGAAAAACAAAAAAGTTACAAATTTAACATTTTTTAATTCACTTCCGTTTGCGACCGGAAGTACGAACGACGGAAAATAATGGTCGATCAACATATCTACATTTGATGCTCTATCACCTCAGCAAGTTTCATATTCATATCTTATCATATATATCGAAAGACCTTAATAATAACAAGTAAACTAATTGTTCAGAGAACAATTAGAGGCCTTTCCACCTTTTTAAGTGTTTTTGTGTCGTTTAGGCCGAAAAAAAAAAAAGAAAAATGCCAAAAAAAAAAAGCAAAAAAAAAAAAAAAAAAAAAATGAAAAAAAAAAAAAAAAAATCCTCCTCCAGCTGGGATCGAACTCAAAACCCTTGGTTTGAAAGGCAGGTGCTCTAACCACTGCGCTACACATTCCGATAAAATTGAGTAAGTTAATTGTTTAAGACTATAGAATAAATACAAGCGTATTTTTAGAATCGGTAGGGGAAGAAAGAAGTTCCGTAAAAGGAAATAGTTCCTGAACTTGCAAGCAGTATATAAAATAAGAAGGGACGGGTGTGCGTGAGAAAACGTTAACACTGTTCCCTAATGAAAATGTATTAATGGACTGTAGCCCGATTCATCGATATTGTGAGCATGCTGAATTTTTTGAAAATAGCTTTGTTGTAAGCTTAAAAGATCGGGTTCGGATTTTAACATTTCTGACTGAATATCCTGAAATAAATATGAAACATTTAAATAAGCATTTCTTTGGGTTAAATTAAATATGTGTAGCACAAATACCCAACATGCATTTTTAGAAGGGAAACACGACAATGAAAGCGAGAACTGTTTTTAATATACCGAAAATCGCTATTTCTGGAAACTGATTAATTCTAAATAAAAATCAAATGAATTCCAAATGTAAAAGAAAGAGAGAATGCTTGGTATTAAAATGTCGTATCATATCAGGAAAATCGAATGCTACTAACGACATCTGAAGAAATAGCCGATAAAAGGTTTAGATCATTTCTTCGTTCACCTGCACTTTAATTTCAAACACAACAGAACTTGTAGTTCTTGCCGTGAAACTTCATGACTTCTATAAACTTATAAGACTCACCGTAAAACTCTCAAGAAAGTTTCTCTGAGGTCTATACTACATATGTACCAAATATGTTGTCGATCCGAGGTCTGGTTTGAATTTTACAGAAATATTCTACGTTGTTGTTGATGTGATTTTTTTTTCAAGAAGGGGGGGGGGGAATGAATTATTTATTTTATGCCTCTTTTAAACTAAGAATTGTAACTACTTTCACATCTTTAAGTCTGATTGTGACCTTTGGGTCAAGATCAAAGGTCAAGGTCATTTCCAAAAAAAAAACCAAAAAACAAAAACAAAAAAACAAAACAAAACAAAACAAAACAAGGAAATCTTTACTTTCTATGTTTTTACCTGATACTGGAGCTGGATGCATGTCCTTACTTTTCATTTGACCCAATGTCAAGGCCAAAGGTCAAGGTCAAAGTTCAAGGTCATTTGGTGAATTGCTATATTTTACACATATATAAGGAATTTCTTATGTTTTTAAATGACTTTGACCTTGACGTATATTTCAAGGTCAAAGTCAAACATGCCGATGCAGTTGGTCCCATGTCTCTAGGATACACCGTTTTAAAAAAAGTTCATTAAATGTAAGCAGCATAAACTTTCAGGGGTAGTAACTCATACAAGGGACCAAAGAATGCTTTTGCAATGATAGAATGAAGAGAGTATTAAATGAGTCGAAGACTGCTGCTGAAGGCTTGGAATCTCTACGTTTTACGGTTTCGGAGGAGTAGCGATAACAAGGTTTTATTGCAAAAGGGTTGACAACTTTTGAATGGGTCAAGCTTTGGGGACAAGAATGAAATCCTTAAAATAGTTTTAGAAGAACATATTATAGATGCAAAGATATTTAGTATATGTCGAAAGGTTTTCTACAGAATCTCTGACAAAAAAGCTTTTAAAAATCAGCAAAAACTACCATACATGTTTTTAAAGAGAGAGAAGTCATTAGCAACTGAAAAAAAGAGAAAAACAAAGAAAAAAAATTAACTACCTCCAGCAGGATTCGAACCCCAGACAGTGGGACAAAGTTTGGATCGGTC